GCGATGAAGGTAGAAATAGGCGGAAGACAAACGGAACAAAAAGACAAAAATATAAACAATTACAGTGTCCTGGAGGCGGAAAAGCCCAGAGTGTGTCTGGGAAAAAGCTTAAGGAATAATAAAGAAGGAACGATAAAGAAGGAAGAAATGTGAAGCAGGACCCCGAGGGCCATGAGCCCCCAGCTCCGATGTCATATAGAACTGAAACGCCTTTTTATTATATTCTTGAATAAAGTTTTATCTTTGCTATTCTTATTGTTTAAAAGTAGATGAATGGGACATCTTAGATTGTTCTCTAAAAGCGTCTGAGTCTTCATGAAGTTTTACTCCCAAGGAGCATTGGAATCTTTTTAGCAAGCAAATGAATAATGCCTCTCCTGCCCTCTCCTGCCCGGGGTGGGGGGTGGCGAGGCCTGGCCACGTCTATTAATAAGGGTAGCAGCAAGGCCCCGGGTCAGAACAGGGGCCACTGGCCAAGCGCTGGGGTGGAGGTGAGGAAGCACTTCCTTTCTCTGAGGGAGGGGGCTGGGGGTGTGCAGGAGAGCCTGGGATTGGGGTTCGGGAAAACTGGGTTCTCATCACACTAATGCTAGTGCTTGGCTGCCCTTGGGAAATGCCCTCCCCTGTTTGGGGCCTCAGTTTCCCCATCTGTGAAAAGGAGGAGTTGGCATGGACAATGGAAAGATCCTTTACAGTAGTAACAAGGTTATGGATCTAAAGCTGTTTTCTATGTCTATTGATGAGAGTCATAATAATAATAATAACGACAACAGTAATAAAAACCAGTTGGTGACCTGTATGTGTCAGAGTAGAACTTAGCTCTATAGGGTTTTCAATGGCTGATTTTTTGGAAGTGGATCACCAGGCCTTTCTTCCGAGGTGCTTCTGGGTGGACTCGAGTCTCCAACCTTCCAGTTAGCAGTTGAGTGTGGTAAGTGTTTACACCACCCAGGGACATAATAACTAACACTTACCGAGTACTTAATACTGTTGTTATTGTTGTGGGACTCAGAGGGACCCTATGTGACAGAGTAGAATTGCCCCATAGGGTTTTCTTGGCTATAACCTTTATGGAAGCAGACTGCCATATCTTTCTCCCGTGGAGCGGCTGGTGGGTTTGAACTGCCAACTATTCGGTTAGTACTACTACTAGTAAAAATGTTGTTAGTTGCCGTCGACTTGATTCTAACTCACGGCCACCCCACGTGTGCAGAGTAGGACTGCTCCATAGAGTTTTCAAGGCTATGACCTTTCAGAAGCAGATCGCCAGGCCTGTCTTTCAAGGCACCTCTGGAAGGTGGGTTTGAACCACCAATCTTTGGGTTAGCAGTCGGGCGTTTAACCCTCTGTGCCACCCAGGGACTCCTTCCTAGTGCTAAAAATAGTTAACATCTATTCAGTGTTTAATAATAATAATATTCATACTAATAACAGCTAACACTTATTGAGCATTTATTATACGCTATATACTACTCAAAGAACTTTACATTTATTAACTCACTTAAACCTTACACCAACACTAGGAGGTGGGTACTATTTTTCTCTCCATTTTACAGATGATGAAACTGAGGCACAGAGATGTGAAGTGACATGACGGAGCAGGAGTTTGACCTCTGGCTCCAGAGTCCTTGCCCTTCACCACCAGGCTATGCTGACATTGTGATCTCCAACATTTATCCTTTCCTTTCAAAAACGCTTCCTGGCACATTGTCAGGGATAGCCATTTTATCCCCTTCAATAATAGTAGTAGATATACTAGTAACAACAATAGCAATAATTATATTAATATTAGTGGCAATAATAATAATAATAGCAACAGTGACTAATATTCATTGGTGCTTAATACTTTATCTGAAATCCCTTCAGTGGCCTCCCCTTCCCCTAAGGGGACCTGAGGCCCTGCTGACCCATCACTGTCCCTTCAAGCCCTCTATCTGTCACTCTCTCTTCACTCACCATGTCCTTCCTGCAAACTGGCCTCCTTCTAGTCCTCCACTGTGCCATTCTCTGTTTCGCCTCAAACCCAAACTAAACCAAACTCACTGCAGTCGAATCGATTCTGACTCATACTGACCCTACAGGACACAGCAGAACTGCTCCATAGGGTTTCCAAGGCTGTAAATCTTTACGGAAGCAGACTGCCACATCTTTCTCCCTTGGAGCCGCTGGTGGTTTTGAACTGCCGGCCTTTTGGTTAGCAGCCGAGGCCTTTAACCACTGCACCACCAGGGCTCCGCTGCACCTCAGGACCTTCCGAAAAATTAGCATTGAGAACCCTGTGGAACACAGTTCTACTCTGACACACATAGGGTTCTGTTATATGACATATGCACTGGGCCAGCATTTCCCAAAGTTGAACGTGGACATGAATTCCCAGGGGTATTGTTTAAAACACAGATTCTGACTCGGTGAGTCCAGGTGGAGCCTGAGATCCTGCATCTCTAACAAGCTCCCAGGTATGGCCGATGCTGCTGGCCCATGGACCACACTTTGAGTAACGAGCCTCTAGCGGACAGAGTGGAATGGTGCAGGCACCTGTACGCACAGTCACCACAAGTGCGACAGGTCACTGGCTGGTTCAGGGTTGCGTGGACAACTAAACGAAATGCAGGCGTGATCACCGGTATTCAAGATGTTACAGAACAGCGAACATCTCCTGGTGAAGTTACAAATGAAACAGCCTAGCCTTCCTTCAATTTGCCTGGAAGTGGCATTCTAGGAAAATCTGATGTAAAAAAAAAGATTTTAAAAATGTCAAAAATACTTCGTGTTCATAAGTAAAACAGGCTGAAAGTAAAGGCAAAGATCGTCTCAACCAGATTTTTCTTGGGTGAGGGGCATTTGAAAGTCGTGAAGGGTACGGGATGATTCCTTCCTGTGTGTGGCTGCCTGCACGTGGTAGGGTATTTAATATACTTGCCACTTATCCTCTAAACGCCCACAAGGCCCCTCAATCAGTGCGTCATTAAAAAACCAAACCCATTGCCATCACGTTGATTCCAACTTATAGCGACTCAATAGGACAGAGTAGAATTACTCCATGGTTTCTAAAGCTGTAATCTTTACGGAAGCAAACTGAAGGAAGGCTAGGCTGTCTCGTACGAAACCTCACCAGGAGGTGTTTGCTGTTCTGTAACATCTCGAACGCCAGTGATCGTGCCTGCATTTCGTTTAGTTGTCCACACAACCCTGAACCAGCCAGTGACCTGTCGCACTTGTGGTGACTGTGCCTACAGGTGCCTGCAACATTCACTCTGTCCACTAGAGTCTCGTTACTCAAAGTGTGGTCCATGGGCCAGCAGCATCGGCCGTACCTGGGAGCTTGTTAGAGATGCAGGATCTCAGGCCCCACCTGTGTTTTAAAAAATACCCGTGGGGATTCATGTATACATTCAATTTAGATAAATGCTGGCTCAGTGCATATGTCATATAACAAAACCATGTAAACATATTATTAAAAAAAAAACCTGGTGGCACAGTGGTTAAGCGCTTGGCTGCTAACTGAAAGGTTGGTGGTTTGAACCCACTAGTTGCTCCCTGAGAGAAAGACATGGCAATCTGCTTCTGTAAAGATGTGTTGTGGTTGTTAGGTGCTGTGGAGTTGGTTCTGACTTGTAGTGACCTCATGTACAACAGAACAAAACACTGCCTGGTCCTGCGCCATCCTCATAATCATTGCTGTGTTTGAGCTTGTTGCAGCCACAGTGTCAATCCATCTTGACAAGGGTCTTCGTCTTTTTTGCTGACCCTCTACCTTACAAAGCATGATGTTACAGCCTTGCAAACCCTATGGGGGCAGTTGTACTCTGTCCTGTAGAGTCACTATGTGTCGAAATCGACTTGACGGCAATAGGTTGGTTTAATGGTGATATCAAAGAAGAACTAGGACATTAGGACATTAATTTATAACAGTACAGTATCTGTTTGAACATGTAAACTGCTGGGCCCTGTATGTCGAATCACTATGGGATCTTCTAGGGATTGTTACCAAACATTGGTATGAAAAAGAGGGGTTGGCTCTGACTGCGCAAAGGCACTGGCCTGGAAGATGCCCCAAATGCCCTGAGCCCTGCTCCCGCTATGATCCTCTGGGCACAAATTACATAAAAAGATGGTTAAAAAGGCCTAAATTCAGCAGGTATTATGTGTCAGGTCCCCTTCCGAGCCCTTAGCCCGTACTACCTCATTTAGTCTCTGCAATGACCCAGTTAGATAGGTCATTTTACAGGTGAGGAAGCTGAGGCCCAGAGACATGAAGTCACTTGCCCCAGGTCACGCAGTAAGTAAAGGGCGGAGCTGGGATTCATACAATCCTGAGGGCGGTGGGGCTTCTCTTAGAGCTTCCCTGAGAAGCACAACCCGTTGCCGTCTTCAAGTGGATTCCAACTTATAGTCACTCTGTAAGACAGAGTAGAGCTTCCCCATAGGGTTTCCAAGTCTGTAATCTTTATGGAAGCAGATGGCCACATCTTTCTCCCGCACAGCAGCTGGTGGGTTCGAACTGCTGAGTTTTCAGTTAGCAGCCCAGTGCTTTAACCACTGCACCACCAGGGCTCCTTGAGAAGCACAGGGTACCACTTACTAGATGTGTGACTCTGGACAAGTCACTTAACCCCTCAGTTTCTCCACCTGTGAAATGGGGCTTATGATAATGAGATCGCTCTCACGGGTTGTTTGTTGCTTAGGGGAGTGCCAGGTATACAGCAGGCGCTACTTGGCCTGTAGTTATTATGATTGGTACTGTTATTGTTGGTCTCTGGATTCCAGAGTAGCCCCACTTACTTCCTCCGCCGATGCCGGCGCTCCTTGTCCTCCCTCCGCGCGTCTGTGTCATACGTGGCCGGAGGGCCATGCCGGTGCCGCCGCCTCCGCTCTCCGCCATTGGGCCCCTCGCCCTCGCCCTCACCGCTCCGGGCCGGCCGGCTGCCCTCGCGGTGCCGGGACCTCCGCTCAGCCTTGTCCTCCAGCCCCTCCTCCCCTGGCCTCCGGTGGGGCCGGTGCCTGCGGGGTTCCCCGTCGGCCCCCGCGCGAGGCGAGCCACTGCGGCTCTCTCTGCTGGCCCCCTGCCGGTGAGGGTGCCTCCTGTGGGGGTCCATGGCCTTGGCCCGCTCAGCCTCACCCTCCCAGAACCCTGGTTGCTCTAGGCCCTCCCGGGTGTGGTGGTCCGACTCCCGGCCGCAAGGACCCTCCCGGCCCAGCTCGGCCTCCTGGCTGCCAGCCCAGGGCCTCCGGGCGTCCAGGCCCCCTGGGCCGCTGGGGTCCCGGGCCCGGTCGTGGTAGCGGGCCTGTTTCCTGAGGAAGTCCTCGGCACGCTGCTGGCCGAGGCGCTGGTCCACCGTGGGCTCGGCTGCCCGGCTCTTGTTGGTGTTGTTGTTGCGGTTCTCCTGGGGGTCGACCACCAGCGGCCGGTCCAAGTGTGTCTTCATGTCGGGCCGCAAATGCCGGGCGTAGGAGGCCTTCCAACGCTCATCCGGGTCCAGCTCGTTGTACAGGGCCTCCCGGCTGGCCAGCAGGTTCTGCTTCCGCATCTCGCTGGTCCGCTGCTCCCACACAGACTTGGTTGTCTTCTGATTCTTCTGTTGTTCCTTCCTGCAGGGGGAGGGTGGGGGGTCAGAATACCACAGGGCAGTGAGGCCCAGCGGGGTGCCTCGGCCTAATGGGGTCTCAGCCCAGGCAGGTGTCTTGACCTGACTGGACATCTCATTCTAAGGGGCATCTTGGCCCATTTGGGTGCCCCAGCCTGGCTGGGTGACTCAGCTTAACGGGCATCTTCACCAGGGTTGTGTTCTTGCCATTCTCTCCATTCCTCTTCAAATTGCAGCACATGAACTCCTGGGGGCAGCTTTGATGTTCAAAATACTTTAACCTCTGACATGGCCAATCATAACGGACACTGGCCTGGAGCAGGTTCTGGAAGCCCCCGCTGTGCCCGGCATGACCCCCTCAGTTCTGGTCATGGGGAGGTCTGGGGGTCTCAGGGAGAGACCGGGGCAGCCAGGGGGAGTCTTGGGGCAGGGCCTACTTATTAACTGGTGCAAAGCAGCCAGCAGGGCCCACCTGGTGGCTGCAGAGATTTTCCAGGGGTTCGTGTGTTGTGATATCTAAGGGACTCAGTTTACAGACCATCAACTTCCACTGGCATCCTCCTAAACTCAGCTGCCTGGAAAGGTGCCTTCCTGTACTCCTTCCTTCCACATCAGGAAAGAAAGGCCCATCCTTCCCCAGTGCCCCTCCCCAGTGCCCCGCAGCGTGCAATACCCCGGGGCCACCAAATAAAGGCACAGTTCAGAACACTGGTGTCAGCAAACCTCCCTGTAATCAAGATGCCATAACTCTCCTCATCTTACCGCCCACATCTGATCCATCAGCAAAACCTGTGAGCTCCAACATCGGCCCGGAACTCAGCTACATTCTACCACCTCCTCGGCCTCTGCCCCGTCCAGTCCCTGTCATCTCATTCCTATGGATGCCTCTGCCCTGATCCCCAGCTCCTGCCCTGGCCCCCCACAGCCTGTTCCTCCTATGGCCACTAGAGGGCACCTGTGAGCACCTAAGTCAGGGCATGTCCCTCCTCTGCTTAGGACCCTCTGTGGCTCCCACCTCACTTAGGGTAAAAGCCCAAGTCCTTCCTGCAGCCTATGGGGCCCTGCACGACCTGCCCCATCACCTTCCTGCCCTCACCTCCTCCCACCCTCCCACTTGTTCACTCCCTCCAGCCACAGTGGCTTCCTCCTGTTGGGCATACTACTTCTACTCCACCCAGGGCCTTTGCATGTGCTGCTCCCTCTGCCTGGGATGCTCTTCCCCCAGAACCCCCATGGCTCCTTCCCCCTTCTGTCCCTGTCACCTTCTCAGCGAAGCCATCCCTGACACCGCTCCCCACCCCAGCACTCCCTGTGCCCCTTCCCTGCTCCAGTTCTCTTGGTAGCTCTATTACCTTCTAATACACTATCTACCCGTAACTCACTTGTCTATCTGTCTTGTGTAGTGTGTCAGCTACATAAAGGTCAGATTCTTCCCCTTGTCAGCGCTGTATCCCTAGCAGCGAGAACAGTCCCTGGAACACTGTTGTTAGCTGGAGTTGAGTTGGCCCCCAACTCATGGCAATCCCATGAGCAATGGAATGAAATGCTGCCTCGTCCTTCACCATTCCCATGATCGATTGTGGATTGGACTGTTGTGATCTATAGGGTTTTCACTGGCTGATTTTTGGAAATAGATTGGCCTGGCACATAGTAGGTGCTTACAAAAACCCATTGCCGTTGAGTTGATTCCAACTCACAGCAACCTTATAGGGCAGAGCAGAAGTGCCCCATAGGGTTTCCTAGGTTGAAATCTTTACAGGAGTAGATCGTCAGGACTTTCCTCCTGCGGAGCGGCTGGTGGGTTCAAATCGCGACCTTTCGGTTAGCAGCCAAGTGCTTAACCACTGCACCACCAAGGCTCCTTAGTAGGTGCTTATTAAATTTTATTGAGTGGAAGTAGGTGGGAGGGTAGAGGTTCCTGTTCCTAATGCTCAACCTTGTCAGGGACCCTCCACCCCCAACTCCTTGACTGGGAGGCTGAGGGGAGGCAGCCTCCTGGGGCTGGGGCACTTACACAGCTATGGACATGTTGGCCGCGGACAGAGGACTCACTTCTGCCACCTCCTTGGCTTTCTGTAGGGCAAGTTTTTGGTTGGCTGCCTCTTCTTCTTCTTGTTCATCCTAAAACACACATGGGATCTCTGTTCACAAAACGTGAACTAGGCCTTGGGGCTGCACCTACTGCTGATCAGGGGCAACATGTGAAATATTTAATCCCAGGTTTGGCTAGGTGTCGACTAATCAGAACGAGGCTGGCCAAGAAGAACGGACAGGGATGCCGGTTCAGTGTGCTGCTAACCCCTTCACGTACAGGCTCACTGCTAGCCCTATGTTAACACACAGCCAAAACAAGACAAAGGAAAGAGAACTCCTTCCTTCCCACAGGGGCAATTTTCCTGCACTCTGTCCCAGGGAGCTAGAAATTAATGCAAAGATTTTCCATTCAACCTACTTTCTGGGCTGTTTGAGCTCTCTGAACCAAGACTTAAAAAAAAACACCTACTAGCCCCACATGCAGAAAAGCCTGGTGTCCCCTGGCCCATGCCACGCACTGCCAATAGCCTCCAGAAGGAGAAATGGGAGAGGAACTTATATTCCCAGCGCCCCCTCCATGAGAGGGTGGGGAGGGCAGCCGGCCCTTGGGCCACAGCCCTGTCCCAGGTGCTGTTCCCTGGTTAGGTTCAGAGAGGAGGACAATGGAGGAAGATGTTATAAAAATACATACAGAAAAAGACGTTTTTTGGACTTTTAATCCATCTTCAGCCTTCATGCAGGGCCTCATTCGCAAAACAGAAAAGGCAACAAAGAAAAAGAAACAAGAAAGAAACGGACAGAAAAGAGCCCGCCAATAAGAAAACTCATGCGGCCGCAGGGCACCTCTTTCCCAGCACTCGGACTCTCTGGGGCAGGGAGCAACCTTACCACCTCTACTGGGCAGATCAGGGCACTTGGCCAGTGGCCAACCGGAGGTGGGACCCGGACAGCCACCTGCTCCCCCTGGCTTTCCCCCGTCCCGGCACCACACCCAGTGCTTCTCTGAGCTGGGTCCCTGGAATACCTGGCCTCAGAAATACTTGAAATGCAGATTCCTGGGCCTCCTAAAGGACCTACAGAACCAGGGCTGGGCCCTGGAACCTACATTTCCAAAAAGTTCCCAGGTGAGTATGAAACACACTCAAGTTGAAATACCACTGCACAAGGATTACGAGTACAAGCTCCAGACCCAAATGGCCTGGGTTCAAATCCCAGCTCCGACACTTACTAGCTGTGTGACCTTGGGCAAGTCACTTAACCTCTCTGTGCCTCAAAATTTTCATCTAAAATTTCAATTCTCTCCACCTTCTCTGCTTTAGCACTCATGGTCATCTGGCATGTTACACATTTTTGCGAATTTATCATATTTCTCATCTGCCTCTTTGAGTATCAGCCCCACCAGGGCAGGGATGTTGGTCTGTTTTGTCACTGCTGTGTCCCTGGTTCTTAGGCCAGGGTCTGGTACACAGTAGGTGCTCAATAAATGCTTTTCAAATGAACAACTGAACCTGTAAAATGGCGCTCAGAGAACCTGCCTCCTGGGGTCTCTGTGAGAATTAAATGAAGTAAGAGCAGGTCAGGGGGCTAGCAGGGTGCCTGCCACACACTAAACATTTGAGAAGTGCTTGTGGAAGAATGAAGGAATGCAGGCGGGAGATGTTCCACAACTCACAGGAGGGAGGTGAAGTGGCCTTCCTCCCTCCTCTTCTGCCTCCACAGTGCCGACTGCCCGCCAAACCTGCCTCCCCTTCATGCCAGCCCCAGAGGACGGGCTCTGGGAATGTGGATCAGCCTCAAGTCCCCCATGGTGGCCAGGCCCAAGGCCACTGGGCTTGGGATGATGGAGACTTCCGTTTCCCCCCACTTGAAGCTGGGCCGGGAAACTCTCTCCCTCCTGCCAGGGCCAACAGATGGAGGGCTGGCAGCCGTCTGCTCTGCTCGGTTCAGTTCCATGAATGTGTCCTAAACACCCTGAAGCACTGGGGACAGGCCACAGAGCTGAGGGAAGCTCCAGGGCAGGGAGGGAGAGCCCACGCATGTGCTCTTAATGCCACGGGGCAGTTGGGGAGAGGCTCAGGCTGGGCCACGGCCAGCTGCACCCACTACCCCACTGCAAAGAGATGCACCTCTGGAACCCCTTTCCCTGGGCTAATGCACCTGTCCCTGGGCACCTGGGCTGGTACCTGGCCCCCACTCGCCTTCTTGCCTTGGTATCTTTGTGCAGTGCACAGCCTGCACAGCCATTCCCAGTGGCCATGCTCGTGGTCTAGCCTGTGCTTTGCAAAGCCAAGTGTGCCTCCTGAGCCCGTGTGAGGTGGCCCTGACTCCCTGGGAGTTCAAGGATACCACAAAGGGACATCTGGCATCAGGTTCCACATCGCTGACTGTGAATACAAACTGAGCTGCTCTTCCCACGGGCCTCCACCCTTCAAATTCTCTTCCGGTCTCGTTTCCTCTGCTCTGCTCTTTAGGAGTTCCCATCTCTGCTCTCCTGGTTCCCAGCTGTGTGGGTGGCCATGGGTAGGTCAGTTAACCTCTCTGGGCCTCAGTTTCCCCATCTGTGAGACGAGGATAACAGTACTCCCCTAACGCCCAGGCACACGATAAAGTGCAGCTAAATTTGCTGCTGCTGTTTTTATTACTACTTGCTTGGCTGATGTTCAAATGAAAGCCGTCGGGTGTATGGGTAGAGGGCTTGGGCTCTGGAGTCTAGGTTCAAATCCCGGTCCTCCCTTTACCAGCTCTCATCCAGGGCCCAGCTTGTGGCTGGCAGGCTGATAAGGGCTGCCTTTATTGAGCACTTACTGTGTACCAAGCACAGTGCTGAGCATGCTACATGCATAGGAAACTGTTACCTGGGGAGGTGACCCTGCCTCTCTGAGCCTCAGTTTCCCCTTCTGCAAAAGGGTGATAGACAGCAGCAATCTTCTGGTAGTCTACGTCACGTGCTTGGCACCGTGAGTATCATGACGTCTTCACTGCTACCACTAAAGGGTGAAGTCCGTGGGACTTTCCATTCGGCCAGCTTGCAAGCACATGGGGACACACGCCAAGCTCCAGGCCCTGGTAGGTTGTTTGCCACCTGTCCCCAGCCCCACTCTGTCTCCTAGTAGGCTGACCTGCATGGGCATCTAGACCTCCGTCTGGAGACCCCAGCAGGAGAGCGAGGTTGGGGCACTGCTTGGCCACTCCATGCTGCACACGCTCTGGGGCCTCCGAGGTCCCAGAACCCATGGGCAGGCCCCCTTCCTCAGCTCCAGCTCTTGCTGGGTCCCGTACACCATCCCCTCCCTGAATTTTCAGGCCTAGGGTAGTGACAACACCCCTGTTGCTAGCTGGGGGACCATGCCACCCCTTGTGGGCCCCCTTGGCCCTGCTCAACTGTAAATGGACCCTTCGGCCAACTCCGGGGGAGCTGGCCATCTGTTTCCTGCAGCGACTCCAAGGCCCCTTCCCTCCGGCCCTCCCTCTGCCTGGGATCATCTGGTTTCTGGAGGGAGGTGCCTTCTCCCCACGTGGTGCGTCCAGGGCAAAGCTCGGCCCCGCCCCACCCCCATGCTGTCCTGATCTGCCATGAGCAGGTGGTAACTTTGCCAGGGAAACATCCTCCAACCGCCTCCACCTTGGTGAGCTCCTGGGCGTTGGCCAGGTTGTCCACGGCGATGGCCAAGAACACGTTCAGGAGGGTGTCTGCAGACGCCAATCAGGGAAAAATGGCTGCTAGAGGCGCCGTGGAGCTGCCGTTTGGGGCTGTTGGTATCTGGGCCACCCCCCATCCCTCCCTCACACCGCCATGCGCTCTGCCGGGACCCAGGCTGCCCCCAGCCCAAGGATACAGTTCCCGAAGAGCGTCAGCACGATGAAGTAGATGGAAAACACCATGCCACCCTGCACGCCCCCCTGGGACTTGATGCCGTCGTACATGACCTCGTTCCAGTCCTCGCCCGTCAGGATCTGAAAGGCGAGGGAGAGACACACAGCCAACCCCCTCTCAGCCGCGGGCCCCGCAGAGATGCCACTGCGGAGCTGGAAGCATTCGGCTGACCCCTGACCCAGGGAGTCACCGTGAGCCCTGTCCAGGCTGTGGAGTGGAGTCTGGGTGTCAGGGGTGTCAGCTCCTTCTGGCTTCTCCTTGGGGCTCTCATTTTGTTTGCTAGTGGAAAGAGCTGTCCCTGCACCGTGGGACTCCTAGCCTGGTTTCTCAGCCAGCGTGACCCTGGAGGAGCCACAGGCCTTTCTGTAACTCCACATTCCCTGATGTGACAGAGGATTTAAATATTTGCCATTTACACTCTTCATGTGGACGAGCTGCTATGGGTAAGGTGCAAATGTAGCACAGGGCCATGTTTGGGGTCCTCTTAAGGCAGACCCTGAAATGGGTTCAAGTGCAAGTGGTTGATCTGGGAGGTGACCCCAGGCAGGACCAGCAGGGCGGTGGGGAAGGGAGGCGGGAAGGAAAGCAGCCTGTCAAGGATGTGTGATTAAGGAAGTTCCCACCATGGGCAACTGGGGCGCAATCCCTCTGTGGACCTCTGGGGGGCAGCAGAGAGCACACATCTCAGAGTCATCCCTCCTACAGGCAAGAGAGCTGGGGTATGTATACACCAAAGGCTGCTCCTGGTGGGGGGGTGGGGGGATTCACTAGCACGCTGGACTTCTGGGCCTGGGGGCAGAGTGGGTGCCAGTGACCAGAGAGCACCTTGGGCAAAAGGCATAGGCACTGGAAGTAGAAATTGGGCTACGGAAATTGGGTTGAGGGGATGTACATGGAGTACCAATACAATCTCCCACAAAAAAACTCAACTCCTCTCCTTTGCAATATTTCCATGAGGATAAAGTAAACGTGAAAGAACTCCAAAAATTTTAAGCTGCTAAAGCAGGGTTTTCTAACCCGGCACTACTGACATTTGGGGCTGGATCATTCTCGGTGGTGGGGGCTGTCCTGTGCACTGTAGGATGTTGAGCAGCATCCCTGGCTTCTTCCCACTAGATGCCAGTAGCACCCCCTCCCTAGTTGTGACAACCGAAAATGCTTCCAGACATTGCCAATGTCCCCTGGGGGGTAGGATCGCCCTGGGTGAGAAGCCCTGTGCTGAAGGACTCTGGGTGGTGATCACTACTATCAACATGAATGCTAATATGAACAGTGACTTTAGCACCTATGTGAGGGCTCCGAACTTCAGTCCACGGACAGTTTCCTCTCCACCCCCATCCCCAGGTCACAAACCACTCAGCCAGGACAAGGGCGAGGAAAGTCACATTTCCCATACAACCTTTGTCCCCAGAGAGTAATAACCCACTGGAAAGGCTCTGGAGGTCCCAGCTAGCCCAGTCCCACACCTCTGGGCATGCCCCAGATGGGCACAGAAGTTGTGGGGCCGACTGCCCAGGGCTTGGGTTTACCCCTTGCCCTGGAATATGGGATTGGGGTCTTTGTAGCTGGGGAAGGCGGGAAGGCAAAGCAGAAGAGTGGGGTTCAGGGAGGCCCCTCAAACACTCTAATCTTTGACACTAGGAGATGCCCGCCCATGGGGTGGGGTGAAGGCTGTACCTGAAACACCGTCATTATTGCTGCTGGAAAAGTGTCAAAGTTGGTAGGAGGCGTTCCTTCATCGAAGTTAAACCTGCGGAGAGGACAGGCATTTAATGAGGGCCTGGCTCAGCGCCCCAAGAGGACACCCTGGGTGGTCTCTGGGCCCCACCCCTCTGGGCAATGGACATCCAGCTGATAAGGAAGTGGAAGGAGGTGGCTGTGGGTCTCCGGATGCAATGAGTGAGGGAAGAGGGAGCAGGGCTGGGTGAGGGGGCTCTGGGCTGGACCCCAGGGATACATAAGTTGGACATCCTGCTGAGCACTTACTGGCCGCCAAAGAGTTGCATTCCCAAAAGGGCGAAGACTACAATAAAGAGGAAAAGGAGGAACAACAGGCTGATGATGGATTTCATGGAGTTGAGAAGAGAGACGACCAGGTTCCTGAGAGACGCCCAGTACCTGCCAATGGAAGGGGATCAGGCCGGGCCAGGGAGCGGAAGCCCAGGGGTCAGCGGGAGGCACGGCCCACCCACAGGCCTACCTGCCTCCCCAACACTCCGCTTCCCAACTGAGCCCCTGCTGGAGCGACCAGGAACCCTGAAGACTTACTTTGTGACTTTGAAAATACGCAATAACCTGAGAGCTCGTAACACGCTGATTCCAAAGGATGTGCCAGGTTTTATGACGGCCCAGATGACCTCGAAGATGCTCCCGATGATAACCTGGAACAAAGGACCAGCCTTGTGTCCAGGGACAGTGCCCGGCCCCCAGCACTGGCAAACATACTGGGCCTGAACCGAGCAGGAACCCAGCCCGACTCCCACCCTCAAACAGAAGCAGGGTGAGAATCTCAGATCCCTTCATTCCTTCTTTTTATTTATTAAGAGATCACACGCACCAAAGAACTCCTGATACACATAATTACAAAGTGAATGTCCATGTGACTACCGCCTAGGCCAAGGAATAGAGCCTGTCAGTATTCCGGAAGCCTCCGGGGACCCCTAGACATAAACCCAAGACATTACTCTTAGACATGATCATCCTGACTTTTACAACCACCATTTCCTTCCTTTTTTTATTTATTGAGGTGAAACTCACATAAAATTCACTGTTTTAAAATGCACAATTCAGTGGCATTTAGGAAATTCATAATGTTATGCAACCATCACCTCTACTTAGTTCCAAAACATTCTCATCATCCCAAAAGGGAACCCCGTATCCATTCAGCAGTTACTTCCCACACCCCTCCCCCAGCCTCTGGCAACCGTTGATCTATTTATCTATTTCCTGTCTCTATGGATTTACCTACTCTGGATATTCCATATAAATGGAATCATACACTACATGGCCTTCTTGCTTCTCTCACTCAGCATACTGTTTTTGAGGTCCTTGCCTTTTTTCTATAGGGTCGCTATGAGTCGGAATCAACCAGACGGCGATGGTTTTTTTTTTTTTTTTTTTTTGGGTGCCTTTTTAAAGTATCCAAGTTTATGTCCCTAAGCAGTGTAGCTTGGTGTTGTCCATTTGAACTTTACATGAGCTGGGTCATGATGTATGGACTCATTTCGTCAGTGTCTGCCTCCTTTTGCTCAGTATTATGTGGGTGAGAGTTATCCACGCCATTAGGTGTCACTGCTGCTCATTTCGTTTAATCGCCGCATCGTGCTCCATTGCATGGACATACCACAACTTATGTGTTCACACTACTGCAAAGAGATACTTGGGTCATTCTGTTTGGAACTATTACAAATAAGGCTGCTTAGAACATTCTTGTAAGTGTCTCCTGGGTACCTGGGTGAGAGTTTCTTTAGGGTGAATCCCTAGCAGTGGAACTGCCAGGCCACCCTCAACTGCTTTCCAAAGAGGGTCTATAAATCACCTCCCCCCTCAGCAGTGGTTGAGAGTTTTGGGTGCTCCATATCCTTGCTAATGTTTGGAACCGTCCTCTCATTTCTTCTGCAGTCAGCGGAGTCTCCCGTGTCCGGAGTGACCCCTCTCCCATTTGAGGTTCCCAGCTAGTGGCCACTCTAGGCAAGAGTGGGAGAGATGAGCTCCTTGTATACGAGAGACTTACCCCACAGTCAAAGCAGTTGAAGGAAGAGTGGAAGTAAGGCCGCGTCCCGAGCCCGTACATTTTTATAAACATTTCGGACATAAAGAGTCCTAAGAAAATGAATTCTGCATAGTCTAGAAGGGAGAGGGAGGAAATGGACAGGAGGTTAGGCATGGGGGGCCCTCCAGGTGGCTCTGAATTTCCTGTTAATGGTGGCCCTGTCTATCACTAGGTCTTTGGTGGCCTTGGTCAAAGATTATACATAGGCTTTCTTTCCATGAGCCTCAGTTTCCCCTCTGTTGAAGGAGAAGAGCAACAGCTGTCTTGTACCCTCCAACCAACCAACTTCAGGCCAATCCTAAAAGGAGCGAGAAAAAGTTCAGCAGGTCTCCATCTTGTAGTTTTGGCCCTGTTTTGATGAGAAGGATTGGATGTAGGTTATAGCCAAGGACCTTGCTTTTGTGTTTACTAGTGGGTTCCTGGGTCCTTATTACATTATTAAAACTAACTAGCTAATTAACAATGTAACAATGGGCCACGCATAGCCCCATGATGCCAGTGTGTCATGATCCAAGACTTATGATTAATCCACTTTTATATGCCTTCACTCCAAAGGAAAAAAAGAAATAGAAATCATAATAGTGTCCTAGTTGTTATCCTGATGTTAAGGACTTAATTGGAGCACCACAGCAACTGATCTAAGGCACAGCTTTTCTCCTGATTTGGAAAACCTATGTGAAGTCCCTTGGAAATCCTGTCTTGCTGGTGTCTAAAAGTCTTAAGCAAGACAGAGTCTCTTGTTCTTTGGTGAGAAAGCATAAAGGCACAAGTTCCTCAGGGAGCGGTAACACATGGATATTCATTTGCTCCAGTGAATACATGGATAACATTAGGTCATTTTCTGAGAGGGCTTTCTTGATGGGGTAGGAATGCCAGGAGTCAGGAAGGAGAAGAGGGTTTCTGAAGGGAAGAAAGTGTACAGAAAAGGAAGACAGAGGAGTTCAAACTTTCAGTAGTTTCACAATTTTGGCAATATATCCAATTCTGTTTGATGGTCAAGGGCATTTGTTTTATTATGCTTTTAAGAGGTGGTTTGAACTGACTGTCAAGGTCCTTCACACTCATTCCTGATCAAAACTTTCTCTAATTTGCAGGACTCCAGGGAGCTCCTGGTGTATGAGGAGAACTCTAGGGTCTCCAGGACTTCACTGACCTCAGCAGGTCAAAATGCTGGGCAAGGGCCAAAATATCAGTGAAGGAAATCTGTCCACGACATCTGGTGCATTCTAAGACCCACGAGAAACAACTCTGGGAGGACAGAAGAGTTTCTGAGATGCTTAGTTCCTGGCTACCACAGAAATGTGATAGCTGGTGATACACAAGACCTGAGAGAATTACTCATCCACAGCATTGGTGGGCCTGGAAGAATGTTTAGGACCATCATACCCAATTTTCACGAGTATAGACAAGGAATATGAGATCCAGAGAAACTACTACACTTGATCAATTCCAAGACACACATTTTGTTCACATTTTAACATCTCTAAAACTGGGGTGCATCTTACAATTGGTGGCATGTCCTAGGTTAGTTGGCAACTTTGTTTAATTTCTTAATGGCACATAAAAGATTGCCTTATAATTGAAGATGTCTTTGATTGATGAATGATGGTAATGACTTATCCAAAGTCACATGGTGAGTTAGGGGCAGAGGAAGCACTGTGTGACCCTGGTCAAGTTACTTAATCTCTTTGTGTCTAAGTTTTCTCAACTGGAAAATAGGGATCATTAAAGGCCTTTTACAGACCGGAGGTCCCAGGCAGGAAGTCCCAGCCCCCTGTTCCTGAACCAGGACAGTCACTGCAAGGTGATTAGTGGGGAGAATATGGGAGATTAAAAATAGACTATCAGAGGAGGTTAAGACAGGAAGTAAAGAGTCCTCATTTATGATAGACTCCAGAGGGACCAAATACAATTACCAAGGTTGGAACTAGGTCAGGGCTCTGGGAAGAACTGGCCCCTTGGGGATGTCCTGGAGGTCAGCCAACATGACTGAGAACAATAAGGGTTACAAGGAGACAAAGGCCTGGACCAGGCTCCCAGGCCTCTCTATGCTGAAAACTCAACTGTCTTTGGTGGCTGTCCTGGGTCAACTCTGAACCAGGTCAGAAGGGCAGGAAATTCACAGACCTGAGTCAGACAAGCCAGCAGATGCAGGAGGAGGGCTGCCACCAGGCAAAAGGTTCTGGGAAGTCCTCACTCAGCATCCACAAACCAGAGCCATGGCATTTGCTTGCTTTCCTCACTGCCCAGTCACTACTGTTGTTGATTACTCAGAGTTCTTTACTTTTTAAAATCCTGTCAGAGGTCTCCCCACCTTTCACCACTTCTTCTCATCCCTACTTTGCCCTCACTTTTGATACTATCTCATGCTAATTCCTGGAATCTGGGAATAGATTCAGGAGGCAAAGCCTTGGGGTGGGGGAGCTGGTACCCAGTGAGGGAGCAAGATGCTCTCAACACTTGTTGGAGGGGGTCTTCTGGATATAAGAAAGTCAAAAAGTGCAGGTGAGAAATGAGAAAGAAGTAGATGTGAAAGAAGGGAGAATCAGGGAATCAGAAATGAGCAGAGAAAATGAGGACAACATATAGATCACTCCCTGTCCCTAAGCCCCCCCACCCCAATCTCTCAACCATGAATTATTTTAACAGTTCCAGAGACATGCCTAGGAATACATGTATGTTTCTGTCTCTATCTGGCTGTCTTGCAGTTTGTCTCTCTCTTTCCACTACCCTGCTCACCAGCACCCCTCCATCTCTCCCTTAGAAGGGATCATGGAAGTGTTCAGTGGTCTGAATTCTAGCTTCTTTCTCTCAGGCCTGAAGGAAACTGGCTCCACCACTGTGGCAGCAGAAACAGCAGTCCCAACCTCAGTTGCAGAAGTGGCCAAATGGAAAGGTGAATTCAAGGCGAGAAGGAAAAAGGGTGTGAGAAAGGGATCAGGGGGCTGGCTGGAGCAGGGCTGGGCAGTACTCACAGAGGAAGTCGGAGAGCCACTCGGGCTGGTTGTAGTGAACGATAGCAACACACAGCGTGTTGAGGGCTACCAGACTGAGCACAGTCCAGTAGAAGGCCTGAGTTTTGACCATGCGGCGGATGTAGAAACGCATCCTCCTCTCCTTTTTGTGAAAAAAAGTCGAGTTCTCCAGCTTGGCACTTTTAATGCTGGCTCGAGCGAAAGGAGACCCTGCCAGGGGAAGAATGAAGAATGTCAGGCTGTTCCTTCAGAGGAAACCAGCCAACACATGGCCCAGGCCCAGACTGTGGCCAGGGAGTCCATTAGCTTCCCCACAAGCCCTCTGGCCAGAGGCAGCCATCTTGATCTACAGGCTTGGCTTTCCAGTGGTGCTTATGAGAAGGCAATGATCCCGAAAGTAACAGTATTGGAAGTAACCAATGAGAGTGCAGGATGTCAATGGGGATGGTGACGTCTCTCACTGCTGGAGCCAACTTGCCATGTCTTTTCCTCCTGGTCATGTATGATGCCTCTAGGGGTTACTCCATAGGGCAGGATGAGGCAAGAGCCTCCTCCCAGGACCCCCAGTGCAGGGGCAGGTGGCAGAGCTGCATGGAACATGTTGGGAAGGCCTCCAGGAGGAGGTATAGAGGGAAGGAGGCAGGAAAAGGTAGAACCTACTTTTCCATGGACACCTCACTTCAGAAATAATGACCAAGGACTGATCCAGATGCTCCCAATCCCTCTTGTGTTTTTGTTCCAGGCGCTGCCTCTACATATTTTTACTATTAAGCATTTATTGAGCACCTACTGTGTGCTAGGTTCTCTTCCAGGTACTCAGGATACAGCAGGTAACAGATAGAGCCCTGCCCTCCTGGGACTGACGCTCTAGTGGGGGAGACAGACAGCGAACATAATGAATAAGTCAATTAACAGTGTGATGGAAGGTGAAAAGTGCCATGGAAAAAAGAAAAACTAGAATAAGGGAACTGGGAACCCCAGGAGGGGCCATGGGGCAGGCTGCAGTATTAAACTGAGTTGCCAAGGTACGGGTATTAACCAAGAGGATATATAAGGTGAGAATACCTTAGACAGAAGGAACAGTAAGTGCAAAGGCCCTGAGGCAGGAATGTGCCTGGTGAATTTGTGGAACAGCACAAGGAAGCTAATGTGGCTGGAGGGGAGTGAGCAAGAGGGAGGGTTGGAGGAGGTGAGGGTGGAGGCGTGATGGGCAGATTGTGCAGGGCCTTGTAGGCTGTGGAGAGGACTTAAGCTTTTACTTCAAGTGAGGTGGGAGCCATGGAGGGTTCTGAGCAGAGGAGGGCTGTGCCCTGACCTAGGTATGAAAGTCACTGTGAAGGAACAAAGTGGGGTGGGGAGAGCAGGGAGACCAGGAAGGAGTGGACTGCACTGGTCTGGGCAAGCGATGGTGGGGCTGGATCTGGTAGTGGCTGAGAAGAAGGGAGGAGTGGGTGGATGTGGGGTGTATTGAATTAAGGTAGATTCAACACTTGTCGATAGATCATATGTGGCTATGAGGAAGAGGGAGGAGCCAAGGTTTTTGGCCTCAGCACCTGGAAGGGCGGAGCTGCCATCCACTGAGACGGGCAAGATATGAGAAGGGGAGGCTTGGGAGAAGGGTCAGAGCTTAGCTTTGGACCAGCCCATTCCAGTTGCTCGAGTAGATTCCAACTCATGGCGAGCCCATGTGTGTCAGAGTGGAACTCTGCTCCATAGGGTTTTCAATGACTGATTTTTCAGTAGATTGCCAGGCCTTTCTTCCAAGGCACTGGGGGTGGACTCAAACCACCAACCTTTTGGTTAGCAGCCGAGTGCATTAACCATCTGCACCAACCAGGGACTCCCCAGTTTTGGACACGCTGAGTTTATCTTTTTCCTGAAAACCTTCAACTGTATTCCTTTGTTTGTTAGTTTGTTCAACCATTTGCTCATTCATTCATCAATTCATTCAATCATTCATTAATTCATTTATTATTTGGTCATTTATTTGTTCATTCACTCATCATTCCTTTGTTCATTTATTTGTTCCTTCTTTCCATTCCTCCATTCATTCTTTATTCAATCATTCATCTCTTCCTTCATTTGTTCATTTCTTCTTTCATTCATTCATCATTTCTTTGTTCCTTCCTTCCATTCTCAATTCATTTGTTCATTCATTCATTCATTAATCCATCCAGCATGCTCACTGAACCCATCCCATGTGCCAGGCATGGGACATGGCAAACGTGACTTTCAAGGGAGCCTGTGACCTTGCAGGATACCACTTCCTCTTAGCAAAATTCTAACCAGAGATTGGTACCCAGGGGCCGTATTGGTTCATATGGTTTTGTAAAAGCTGGAGTTACTGGTCTACATTTAAAAACTGGGAGACCTTCCATAAAAAAATATGGCTGTCAGCTTCTCTTGGATGAAGTAACAGCTGACACTTATTGAATATTTAGCAGGCACCGGGCTCTGTGGGAAAGATGCTACATGATAAGCTCCTTGATCCTCATCGCACCCTGTGGAGCAGGGACCATCACTGCCCCTGTGGTCAAAACAAAAAAACTCATTGCCGTCGAACTGATTACTACTCATAGTGACCCTACAGGACAGAGCAGAACTGCCCCATAGAGTTTCCGAGGCTGTAAATCTTTACTGTGACACCAGGGCTCCTGTCCCCATGGTACAACTGTGGAAATAGGGCTGAGAGGTCCAATGACTGGAGAAGATGTGTCGAGCCAGGATTTGGAACCCGTGTTCTCAGCTATCACACTACTCACTCCTCCTGGGACAGTGGACCATGTGGCCACGGGGGGTGGGGGGCACTCCCACTGGTAGCAGTTGCCCAGTCTGGTGGCTGCAGCCCCTCACAGCAAGGCCTCTCCTCTCTGCCACGGATTCTCCTCTCATGCCCACCCCCCACCTGACCCCAGAGGCACTGGGGGCCCTTGGTGCGGCTCTCCCTGGCCCTTCTCAGTCAGGCATTTCTGGCCTCTGTTTGCAGCACCTGAGGATGAGCTTGTGAACGAGCCTCTCAGGAATCTCAGAGGGATGCTCCAAGGGTCAAGGGAGAGAGAGGAGCTGGTCACTGTGGGCAGCTGGTCCCCACCCCCCACCCCTGCTGGAGCCACACTGAACACCTCAGCTCCACTGCCAGTTGGCGGTGATCGGTCACTTCATCTCTTGGCCCCCAGTGTCTTCATCTGTAAATTGGGGACAACCACACTTCCTACATCATAGAGCCCTTGGGAGGAATAAATGAGTTAATACACCTCAGCACAGTGCCTGGCATGTTATGATTACTGGACATCGTCTCCTACTGTAGCCCCAAGAACTGAAATCGAGGCCCAGTTCAGGTGCCAGCTCATCGAGGACGCCTTTCTTGATCACCCAGCCTGCACCCCACTCATCGGGAAGGGAGAGGGAAATGGATGCTAACTGAACACCTACTACATGTCAGGCCCTGTGCTAGCGAGATACTGTGACCTCGGTTTACAGCAATTAACTCACTTCGACCCACTCACCCTTTTTCTATACATTCTGGTCTCTAATTCTTCTCCGTTGCCTGGAATTGTACTTGCAGGCAATCTTTAGTTTGTTTTTTTTTTTTAAATTAATACTGTATTTTATTAAATCCAATCTGTCTAAAGTATTGTCATTTCAACATGTAATCAATATAAATTTATCAATGAGATATTTTCCATTCTTTACGTTTTCACACTGTCTTCTGACTCTGGAGTGTTTTTATACAGCACATCCCAGTTCAGACCAGCTACATTTCAAGGGATCACGAGCAGCTAGGGCAGCTAGTCCAGATGGAGCCAGGGTGAGGGCTGGAGTATGCCACCGCCAAAGCTTAACGCAGAGATTTCTGGAAATTTATATATCCTGAAAGATCTCTGAAAGTTGAAATGGTAGCTGCCAACACGGAACTTATATCATTAAAATCATCTAAATGGAATCGGATTTTCCCAAAGAAATGATATTAATGATGGCAGCGTCTATTCATCGCTCAACTCTTCATACAAATGACTCAAGTTCCCTGGTGGCATGGTGGTTAAGTGCTCATCTGCTAACCAAAAGGTTGGTGGTTGGAACCCAACAGCTGCTCTGAGGGAGAAAGATGTGGCAATCTTGTTCCAGAAAGAGTACAGCCTTGGAAACCCTATGGGGGCAGTTCTACTCTGTCCTGTAGGGTCGCTATGGGTAGAAAAAAGCTCGATGGCAATGGGTTTCCATATTTTAACAGTAAGTTCATCACTTATAAATGAGACAGCTTTATCATGTGTTCATCAGCTGACTCAACAGCGCCATAGAATCCCTAATTATGTAAGACCGTGTTTACTACAGTACAACATGGGGGCGAATGCCACACAGTTCCTACCTTGTCCTTATTTTTTACAGACATAAACAAAGGTAAAGGCATTTTCTCGTCAGAACCTTGCAATTCCAGAGGTTTCTTTTAGGGTGGTCTTGGAAAACACCTGGCTAGGCTGGGGGCCCCTTCCTGTGTGTTTTTGAGCACCAGGCCAAGGTCGGGGGTTTTGGTGGATTTGGCTGAAGCAAGCCACTGGCCTGTCTTCTGGATCCATTTAGAAAGCTGAAAATCACCCTGCTTTCTCAACAGCATCTGTCCTTACTCATCCTGACAGCTTTCTCTTTGGGTTCCTCCTCTTCCTGAGCTGCCTCCTCACATGTCTATCAAATGCCTGCTTTGAACCTGGATTCCCCAAGTAGCAAGTTTTTCCTTGGTCAGCCACAGAGTCTAGGGCAGGGTCTTGCACAGACGAACCCTCTGAACATCTGCCATGGCTTCCTGGAATGCCTCCCCCAACCTGGCCATGTCAAAGGTTTCCTGAGGTTCCGAGTAAAATCCCTCCTGAGTGAAGCCTTTTTTGGTCTTCCCACTGAACAAATTCCTCCCTGCCCTGTTCAGCCATTTCGACCCCTCGTCACTGCTCCTTACACTGCGTCTCTGTTGTTTTATTTATTTATTTATTTTTAATATTGCCATTGTCACCATAAGGAGCCCTGGTGGTGCAGTGGTTAAGCACTCAGCTGCTAACTGAAAGGTCAGTGGTTCGAACCCACCAGCCGCTCCATGGGAGAAAGATGTGACAGTCTGCTTCCATAAAGATTACAGCCTTAGACACCCAAGGGGCAGTTCTGCTCCGTCCTATAGGGTTGCTATGAGTCGAAATCAATGGCAACCGATATTGTCACCGTATCAGTCAAATCCATTCTGACTCATGGCGAGTCCACGTGTGCAGAGTATAACTGTGCTCTGTAGTTTTCAAGGCTGTGATCTTTCAGAAGCAGATCACCAGGCCCTTCTTCCAAGGTGCCTCTGCTGGAACCACCGACCTTTTGATTAGCAGTCAAGCGCTTAACAATTTGTGCCACCCAGGGACTCTCTGTTGTTTTAAAGCAACTTTATATTTATTTAACTTCCTGATTTCAAAGGTAATGCAGGTCATTAATTCATATATTAGAGAAAAATGTAACATAGAAAGTGAAAATCCCTTGTAATCCTCCAATTTCCAAATCTTCTTTAAGTAGATCTGATACGTCTTAATACTATTTTTTAAAAATGGGATCATATTGTACATAGCATTGTTCAGCTTCCTTTCTTCTCTCTGAAAAACACGTCTCAAACATCTTTCCACACCTGTAGCAATCTTGTTCTTTTTCCTGGCTGTGTAGTACTCCACTGTAAGTCTAGACTCTAATTTCTTTAACTATCTCCCTACTTTTGTGCATGTGGGTTGTTCCTGTTTTTTATTTTTCCAACACTAGAAACAACGCTGATGTAAAGAGGGTGGAATGCAGATCTCTGCACATGTGTAGGAATGTTCTTTGAAGCGGAAATGCTAGGTCAAAGGGTATAAAGTCTATATTTAAATAATGCCAAATCATACACTGTGCAAATTTACACTCCTGTCAACAGTGTGTAACAATGCCCATTGCCCTATATCCTTGCCAACACTGGGTATTATTACTTTTTCATCTTTGCCAGAATGATTGATGAAAAGTGGTATCTCCCTGTGGATGAATGGCAGGTTCCAGCAGACTAAGATGGACTAGGAAGAAAAGCTTGGCAATCTACTTCTGAAAACCAGCCAAGGAAAACCCTATGCATCACTATGGGCCGATCCCCAACCGATCATGGCGCTAACATCAACAACAACAATCTCATCTTATCTGCAGAGGAGAGGCTAGTTTGGGTATTCCAAATTTTTTCAGTGACTGGCATTTGGTAAATGTGGGATGACAAAAAGTTTGCCCATCAGAATATAACAAAAACAGATTTTAAAAATGGAAGCAAACTCATTGGGAAAATATGTGGGCCAGACATAACTGATAAAACGTACAGAGTTGGAATGCTATAATTCTTGACACTTGTTCAAAAGAGATAAACAGATATAGCCACCAGTGGAAATAGAGTTCATCATTACAAGGACAAGTGTGTTTTGGCTAGAAATTAAAAATGCAAATTAAAACAAGCTTTAAGGTATCATTACAAACCTACTTAACTGGGGAAGGAAATTAAATTGGCAAAATGGAATGGCCGGGGTGGGGAATCCATGAACGTACGCTTACTTGGCAGGTTTATAAATGGGTTCAACGTTTCTGAAACTCAGAATGACTCTGTGAATAATGAGTTGAAAAGCTGTTAATATCTTTGATCCTATAATTATCCCCAAGGAAATACGCCCAAAGGGTGGGGGGAGTAATTGTACATAAATATTCACAGTAGTGTTCTTCGTTAAGAGCAAAAATTGGAAACAACTCAAATGCCATATAATAGAGCAATGGCTAAACAAACTATAGTGTATCCACCTGTAGGGAACATGTGATTGCAAGGAAAATGATGTCAAAACTCAATGGCTGTGGTTATAAACTAGGGTTGAGTGAAAAAAAAAAGCAGAAGAGAGAAGAGTAGATCAGAAGCATCTATCTACACTGACAAAAATAATATAATGGCAGATATTTAAACGGAATGTAATTGCCCCTCCCTCCCTCATTTTCTCTTCCATCCTTTCTTCCTCTGCGCTCCAGCCACACAGTTCTACGAACAGTCTAAATTACTTCTCTTCTCAGGGTCCTCTGCCTGGATATTCTCCCATCTTTTCTTCTATTATTGGAATTTTTTAAAACCCGTTAAAAAAATAACATATTTTCACTGTAGAAGGTCAAAAGCAGCATAGTCTCAGTCAATAAATCAACTGTATTAAGGGGTGAGAAGGAAAAGAGTAAATGTCCCCTGGCCCCTCAAGCTCTGCCTCTTATGGTAACCACGGCGGCAGTCTGGGGCATAGCCTTCCACATGTTCTCTCTGCTCTCACTGCCTACGGTGAACTCCTACTCATCCTTCAGTTTTCAGCTTAAAAGTCGCCTCCTCTGAGAAGCCTTCCCTGACGACACACCACTCTTCCAGAGAAGGCCAAGACCCTGGGATCTCCTCAGCAGCACCATCACCATTACAAGTTCTATGTGGAATTACCTGTTTAATATCTACTTCCTTCCCTGGACTGTAGGGTCCACATGGACAGGGATTTTGTCTCCGTCTTGTCACAAGTGGGCATCTAACAAGAGCAAGCCCTTAATGAGTACTTTACAAATGATGAAAATATTGGTCAACATTGCCAGTACCAGTTGCCGTTGAATTGGCTCTGACTCATGGTGACCCCAGGTGTGTCAGAGTAGAACTGTGTTCCATAGGGTTTTCAATAGCTGATTTTTTGGAAGTAGATTACCAGGCCTTTCTTCCAAGGCACCTCTGGGTGGACTCAAACCTCCAGTCTTTCATTTAGCAGCTGAGCACATTAACCATTTGCACCAGCCAACATTATCGGGTGCTTATTCTCCGCCAGACGCTGTTCTATATGCTTTATGTGGATAAAGTTAATCCTCAGAATATTAGAAGACGGGAACTGTTATTCCCATAACCATGTAATCTCCCCTAAGGCACACAGGTTGCAAGGGGGAGAGATGAGATGCAAATCCAGGCAGCCTGGTTTCCAATCCTTGAGCCCCTGTGTCTCTCGGGGACTGGCGATGAACAGACACCTGGAAGCAGAAGGGACTCACCCACAGAGGCGATATCGGCCAGCTGATCCTCAGCCTCTTCAGGGTTGAGCAGGTCTGTCTTGCTTTTCTTTATGGTGGCCCTTCGCAGAGCTCCAACAATGGAAACACAGCAAGAGAAAAAGACATTACCTTTTTTGCACAACGACAGCCATCGAGTGTATACTCTGCACCAGGCATGACGCCACGCTCTTTCTACATATCATTGGATTTAGCCCTCGTGACAATTGGGTTTGGTAGGAACCACTGGCATGCCCATTTTATAGATGGGGAAACCGGGGCTCAGGGAGGTTATATGACTGTACCCAAGGGGTGAAGAGAGAGTCAAGTCCTGTTCAGTCTGATTCCAGTCTGAGCTCTCTCGGTCACTATTTTCCCTCTGGTCTATTTTTAAATTCTAAAAAACCCCACTTTCTAGGAACCCTGGGACTCTTACGAAAACAGTCCACCCCTTGACCTTTATTAGCATACATGCTAGGCAGGCTGGGATTGTGGACACTCTCCACTCCCCAATATTCAGCTCTACTCTCTCTCTTGAGAGCTCTCCAGGGGACAATGAGTTCAGGTATACGCTTTCAATAAAGTCACTCGGACATCCCCAAGGGTAATCTCTTTTCCAGTAAAATAGTAAACTTCATTTTATAATCTGCTGGGATAGGCCCCAGTTCATTGATTTTCTTCTAATCCCCTCGATTTTCAATCAAAAGTCATCATTCTGTGTAACTAGCTTTCTAACGTGTGAGAAGATAATCCCAAGCAATAAAACGTGTTTTTGATGGAATTATTATCATTATATTATTTAGCAAACATTTCCCTCTGGTCTATCTCTAAAGTCTAAGAAACTTCACTTTCTGGGGGCCCTGGACTGGATGTATAGTGACTCTTACAGTCCGCCCCTTTACTCCTGCCATAGATGCCGGGCAGACTGGGTTTATGGACATAAACTCCCTCCCCCCACCCATATTCGGGCTTTACTCTGTGAAGGAGGCTTCTAGAGGGCAATAGGTTAAAGTATACACTCCAGAGGAAGTGACTTCCACTCTTCAACAAAGTGCTTTGTAAAATCCATTTTATAAGCTATGGGGATAGAGCCCCAGTTTCTTCATTTCCTTCCCACTCTTGGTATTTTTAATCAAAAGTCATTGCTCTGTCCAGCCAAACTTCTAACGTGAGAGACAACAGTCCTTAACAGTGAGCTGGATACTAGGTGGACTTCTTATTATTGTTATTTATTTAGTTAGCATATACAAATGGTGCTGACTGTGTGCACCATTAGCACTGTCCTAAGTATTCTATTTGCAATAATTAATTTAATCCTCACAGAGATATCGGCCATCTGTAAGGTAGGTATTACTATTATTAGCATTATGTATTTTACAGATGAGCAAAACTGAGGCACAAAGCCAAAGAATCCAGGCACGTAATTAAAGCAGAAAGGGGAGATCAGAAAGTGTCAACCCTGCACTGAGGTCCTGATATTCCTCAAGGAAGCAGATTCTTACCATTCCCCAGATCGAACTGAGCCTAACCTGGTCTCTTGTTTGTTCCTGGCATGACCTGGCCCTTGAGCACCTCCTAGAGGCCCTCTAGAACCAAAGAGCCTGTCCCCTTGGTCCCACGACTCCTGTCTGCCCTGTGACCCACCGCCTCGCTGGGCTCAGAGCAGTTACCATCAAAGGGATGCCTCTGCTCTCCGTCGGTTTCGTCCTCGGCGAGGATCACCTCTTCTGAGGAGGAGGAAGAGCACAGAGTTAAGCTCCAGTGCCTGGAGGACTGTCCTGGGGATGGGCTCCCTGGGACGGGAATGACAAGGGGCCACTCCTGCTCTCCCTTTGCTGCTCAGCTGTTTCTGATGCCCAGCCCCCCTCAGCAACAGTAATGATAGCAAACATCATCCCCACTTCACTCAAAATAAAGGCCAACATGTTCACCACAGCTTCAGGCCCTGCCTGATCTGCCCCCATCACCCACTGCCCTCACCTCCTCCCACTCCCCCTAGCCTACTCTGCTCTATGCACACAGGCCTCTTTGCTACGATGCTCCCATCACAGGGTCTTTGCACCTGTGATTCCCTCTGCCTGGAATGTCCCTCCCCTAGACATCCACGCAGCTTGTTTCTTTACTTCCTTCAGGTCTCTGTTCGGATGTCACCTTCTCAGAGAGGCCTGTCCTGACCACCCCTCTCCAACCATTCTCTGCTCCTTGCTTGTGTTAGATTTCTTACCAGCATTTGGCAGCACCAAATTACATGTACTTGATTATTTTCTATCTCCCTCACTAGAATGTCAGTCTCTGAGGGCAGGGATTCTGTTTTTTTTTTCTTTTTTCCCACTGCCACATCCTCAGTGCCTAGAACTGTGCCTGGCATACAGCAGGAGCCTCATAAATATTTGTTGAGTGGCTGAACAAATACACACGTGCCTCCTGTGTTTCAGGCACTGTTCTTGCTAAGCAACTTAGCTTGAATCACTTTATTGAATACTCACAGTAGCCCTACAGCCCCATGAGGTAGGCACTATGTTATCCCCATTGAATATATAAGGCAACTGAGGCACAGGGAGGTGAGGTATATCACTAGGAGGTGACAGAGGTAGGATGTAAACCAATGCCTGATTTTAAAGCTCATAACTGTTATGTGATGCCACATTCTGTCTCCATCCCGGAGGTTTTAATATCATACTCTGGTTCCTTGCTGCTGGAAGTTGGGATTACCAGTTTCGATCCTCTTTCTCCTCCCATCACACCCCTCCCCTCATCCCTCTTCAAACTGTAAGCATGACTCTCTGTCTGCTCTGTGGCCTGGGATTTCCATTCCTGGGCTCCAGGATGAAAGGGCCTCACCTGCTTTCGAGATCCACTCCATGTACCCATTGAGCTCTCTTTCAATCTGCTGCTGCCGCCTCAGCTTCAGAAAAGCCCGCCGGTTCTCCACCCGCTCCCTTTCTTTGGCAAACTCCCTGCAGATGCACAAAAAAGCCCAGGACCTGGATGTTTCCTGCCTCCCTGGAAATGTTTGGAAGTCTGTGTGTGTGTGCATGTAATCTGGGGGTTCAGAACCCTCTGGTGGCAAGTGGTTTTCAACAAGAGGAGCAGGTCTTCTGGGAAAACATCAGAATATTATGGGGCGAGGTATCTCTGCCAGCTTCACACATTTCCCATCAACTGCACCCAGCTGGAGCAAAAAGCAAAACCATACATGGAACCATGCCATGCTACCATTGCTGGCCAGTTCCCTCCTTCTCATTCTCTCCATAATACTGACTAACAGAACCTCAGTTTTATTTGAGGTGGCAGTGTGCCCAGCTAAAAAATGGAGGACTTCTCAGACCAGAGTCAAGGAGGAGCAGGACACAAAAAATATTTCCAGCCCTCTTTTAGGTTATGCCAATGAAACATAAGCTGATGATCTCTGCTGAAGCTTTGCTTCCTTGATATAGGCCCTACCTCTTTCTGTTTTCTTGCCTCCTCTTCCTGTTTAGAACATGGGATGGGCCATCTTGTGGGCATGAGGCAGCCATCTTGAGACCATGAGGCATCCATGAGATTGGAAGCCTTTGGTAAGGATGTCAGAGTGGAAAGCTAGAAAGATCTGGGGTTCCTGATGGTGTCATGGAGCCACTGTACCAGTCCTCACACTTCTTGTGGTAAGAAAAATGAAATCTATTTATGATTAAGCTAAAAGAAAATCAATCTTGGGTGGTGGGGTGATGGGGAGAGGGACAATGTATGTCATAAAAAGCACGTTCAAGTCTAGCTATGATTTTGTATTTGGAAAACAGGGAGGAAAGCCAACCTATTGTTTGTAAATGTAAGTTACAGAAAATAAAGCTCTGTAGGATTTTTTACGTGGTACGTTGTAGGCCTGAAAAATTTGAGAAAACCTTTTGAATGAGAGGCCCGCACTGGAAAGAATTTCCCCTTCCTCTGGATGGAAATAGCTCAGAACCAGGGGTACAGCTTGGTGAGTTAAGGATGGGCTGAATTTCAGTCTCCCATGTGTCTGTCCCCTCCCTGGATACCTCTTGCAGTTGTGCATGGCTTGCTAACTGTCTGGATTTCCCAAAGCAAGGGAAGGGCCCATTCTCTGGCTGGTGAGTGAAAACAAAGCCTTGGTGGCCTTTTCCTGGGCAGCAGTTGGAAAAGGGAGGGGAGGGGGAGTGACGGAGACTTACCCTGACAGCACACCCAGCACAAGGTTCAGCATAAAAAAGGAGCCAATGATGATGAGGGGGATGAAGTACAACCAGTTCCAAGTGTTCCCTGAGGCATCGTTGCTCTGTTGGGGCAAGGAGGGAAAGCAGGTGAGACTTGACTGGGGCTCAGGTGTGACCTCATAGGTTCTTCTGGAGAGCTCTATCCTTGAATACCCTTGGCCTGTGGAGTTCTGGAGCTCTGGCAGCCCAGGGTGGGAAATGGAGGGCCCAGCTTCAACCAATCAAAGGTGTAAAGCCCCCCAATCCCCAGTGGTGTCATCCTCACAGGACCTGGGGGCCAGCATGAACAAACAGAGGAGGACTTCCCAGACCAGAGTCAAGGAGGAGCAGGACACAAACCTCATCCAAATGCAGAAATGAACCTCTGTTCCCTCCCTTATCCACCAAACAATCACAGTCTCCCCTTAAAGGAGGCACATGACTGCAGGGTCTGACAGCTTGTTTAAGTCACCAAGCCAGTCAGCTGGGCTGTGAGCCTTTTCCTCAAGGGTGTCCCTCTTCCATTCCCTGAAAAAAATTCCCAGAAGTTCCCAGCTCACTTTTCAACAGAACACTGTGACAAGAAGAGTGTAAGAGGAGGGGAAGAATACAAAAACAGAGGAAGAGATTTATGAGGCTGCAAGAATCATAAAAATAAGCACTTAGTGCTTACTGTGTCCCAGGCACTATTTTAAGCTCATTATCTATGCCACTCATTTAAGCCTCTTGATGTGCCTATGCTATCATCATGCCCATTTTACAAATGAGGAAACAGAGGCACAGAAAGACAAAATCATCACCCAAGTCACAGAGCTAGTCAGGGGCAGGTGTGGGATTTGAACCAGGGGTAACCTTCCAGGTGTTCCTCAGCCCTGTGGCGCCTGTAGAATGGAATCCCCAAGTGTGGCTTTAAAAGCCCACCTTTAAAAACACAGGCAATTGTGAATGGTTAGTCCTATGTGAGTGAAGTCCAGGATTTCTGCTCACTGGTTGGGGGAAGAGATGATCTGTTGCTGAACATGAATAAGAAAGCATATAATCCTGCTTGCTGCTGGCAGCCATCCTGTGTGCATGAGGAAAGCTTATGTTGGAATAAATTCCACATCATGGAAGGCAGAATGAACAACTGAAAAGAACCTGGATGCTCAGTGACAGTGTGGAGCTGCTGGATGAAGCCTGGCCTGAAGCCCACTACTTCTGGACTTTTCAGTGAAATGAAATTCTCTTTATTTATTTTAAACCACTGTGAGCTATGTTTCTGTTACTTCTGTTAAGGTACTTCAAGCTCCATATTTTGTTCACATATTTCTTTGAATACATGTTTTACTTGTTGAACTGATAATTACAAACTCTAAAGCCTATCTGGAAACAAACAAACAAACAAAAATACAACATAAAACCACATGCAATGCCACTGCCATCCAGCAGAAGGGCTAAAATGAAAAAGACTGACACTAGCAGGTGTTGGGGAGGTTGTGGAGCAACCAGAACCCTCAGAGTCTGCAGTGGGAGGGTAATATTCAAACTTCCCCATTTGAAAAATGGGTTAGGAGTTTCCACTAAAGCCAATCATGCATCTTTGCTATGAGTCAATAATTCCACTCCTGGGTAGTTATCCAACAGAAATGTCAACCTGTGGTCACTAAAGGTATATATAAGAATGTTCATAGCAGTAATATTCACAACAGCCCCAAACTGGAAATGAGCCAAATGCCGATTAACAGGAGAGGGGATAGAAAAATGGTATGCTGTGCAATGAACAACTGCCATGGGTCACCACATGAAGTCATACAAAGTTAATGTTGAGCAAAGAAGCCAGATGGAAAAATGTGAGATTCCACTTAACATAAAATGCAAAACCGGGCAACTGGGATGGGATGGGCATGAGAGGGCTTCTGGGGCTGAGACAGCTGTTTCCTGATCTAGGTGCTGATTACACGGGTATGTTCAGTTTGTGAAAATCCATTATGCGGTTCACTTACGATCTGTGAAGTTTTCTGAATGTTTATTTCCATAAAAAACCAGAGTTTTTTCAAAAAAGTCAACCTTAATCCTGGACACAAACTGTGCCCTTGTTCTAACAAGCTCCAAAGTTCTAGTGCTGTACTTCTGGAAGGCTCTGGCAGAATGAGACAGGAATGGAGTCAGCAGAATAGGGCTGGACTGGAGGCAGGACTGGCTTTGTGCTTTTCCCCTCTGATGCTGCAGTGGCTGAAGGCTTCTCGCTCCCATTTCTCAGGGCTAAATATAGTCCAGGAAGCGGAAGCCTGCATGGGCAGCACAGGAAATCTTCGGGCCATCTTGGGGAGCAGGCTCAGGAGAGGACGGAGCAGGTGGAAGGGGGTGGACTGAACAGGGAGACTTGGATGAGGCCCCTCGGGGCCAAGGCAGCCCCTTCCATCTCAGAGATTGCCAACAAGGCATGTGTCCGTTCACACCTTGGCTCCTGACAGGCTTAGGGGCCTCTGGATACGTGATGTATTGCCCAGGGTAAAGACATGCATGCACGCGTGTGCACACACACATACGCACACACGGTGCCAAGTACTTGGCCAACTTTAACATATTTAATCTTCTCATCAACCCCAAAAAGCAGTATGTAATCATTCCCATCATTCCAGGTGAGGAAACTGAGGTGCCACGAGGTAAAGTCACATGTCCCAAGTTACTAAATGGCAGAGGTGGTCCCCAACCCTCTCACCTCCATGCCCCCAGTCTCCTCTCACTCACCCTCTCGCTCACTCTGTTCCAGCCACACCGGCCTCCTTGCTGCTCCTCAAATGTGCAAGCACAGTCCTACTTCAGGGACTTTGCACAGCTGTTCCCTCTGCCTGGACACCCTTCCCCCACACCCCTTCACCTCTTCAGGAAGGCCTCCCTGATGGTCCTTTACAGTTGCACCCCCTCATTTCTGATCTCCTTTTTGGGCTATTGTTTCCTTAGCACATCATCATCTCACCTCCTATACACTCACTCACTTAACTTGTTCACTGTCTCCCCTGCTGAATGGTTGCCCCACAAGAGGCAGGGATTTTGTCCATTCTGTTCCTGTTCTGTTCCCTGGCAAAGTGCCCAGTGCAGGCAGGGCTCACCCAATTTTTGCTGAATGACTGAATGAGAGGCGGGTCCAAACTACTACACAGCCCACATCCTCAACCCATGGCTGTGTTCCCTCCAGAGCCCTTCTTGCTCCTTCCTCCCTGGGGACTGGGGCTCAGCTGTCTGTGTTTAGAAGTACTTTTTCTCTTTCAGCCTCACCCCAAGTATTCAATTCCCTGCTCTGGATCCAATGACTTACAGAGAAGCTGGTGGAGGGTTGGGTGCAGGTTTTGATTAGGAGATGGGCTTTCCCTGGGTGGTGGGGTTTGCTTGGGAGCAAAGTGGAAACACTTCCCTGACAGGAAGCCAGGAGCTGCCCAGGAGGTCTGTGGTCACTCACTATTGTAGATGGGGCACAAGTCTCCCCTCCTGGTCTCCTTCCCCTTTGACAGGTCAGGTTAAGGTGGGGTACACACGAGTCTGGGTCTGGGGAGGATGGGGAAGGGGGGCAGCTTGCTCACTTGTTAAAATCCGTAATAACACGGGGGAGGAGGCTGCTCTAGAAAGTACCTTGTCTGTTTTCCAGAGGCTCAAAGGAGTCTCCTGCCTGGGGACTCTTTCTCCATTAAAACCTCAAATCAAACTCATTACTGTTAAACTGATTCCAACTCATGGTGACCTCATGTGTTACAGAGAACTGAGCTCCATAGGGTTTCCTTGGCTGTAATCTTGACAGCAGCAGATCACCAAGTCTTTCTTCCATGGCACCACTGGGAAGGTTTGAACCACCAACCTTTCAGTTAGTAGACGACTGCAAACCGTTTGCACCACCCAGGGATCCCCTTCCCCCATTAGTGGTCACCAGATATTTCTGGGGATGTGCCAGGATGGTCCTTCCTGGTTCCCTTGTGGGGTGGGTTCTGGACACTGACAAGTGAGTGGAGCTGTCACTTTTGGGCTAGAGTGCTGAACAGCCAGTGTGGGGCCCTCCAGGGCTCTCCTCCCTTCTAGGATGGCAACTGGCAATGTTCCAGGGGGTGGCTGATCAATCAGCTAGGTCCCAAATGACTATGCTGAGCAGAGCGTACCTTCCCTCCCCCGGCCCCAGCCAACCAGATCTGGACATGTGGTATGAGCAGGAAATGAACTGTTGTTAAAGTCACAGAGACTTAGGGGATGTTTGTTACTGCAGCGCAGCCTGGCTGTTCTGACTGATATACCAGATATTTATCTCCATGGTTCACCCCATACCAACTAAGGGCTTTTTCAAATGTCACCTTCTCATCGACACTTACATGGATCTCATGAGACAGGTGGGCAAATGAGTGTCTCCCATATGACTGATGGAGAAACTGACACCCAAAAAGCTGAGGTTCAGATTGCAATGAGCCCGTTTCCTGTTCCTGAGCCTCTTCCTGGAGCCCCCTCCCTCCAGGTATTGGATAGGCCGACTCCGCCCTGTCCCCCAGGCTTTTGCTCCGCTGTGTCCTCCTCAGAGGTGCCTGCTTGGACTTCCCAACTGAAAGGACTTTCCCCTCCACATTGCACATCTATTCCCAGCATGCTTCACTCCCTAAATAATCTTGTCGATTATGCATTTATTTCCTTACAGATTTCTCTCCTCCCTAAAACATCTGCTCTCCTCAGGCAAGACTGTTCCTTGTCTTGGCCCCCTGTGCCCAGAATAGCACTTGGCACACAGTAGGTGCTCACTAAGTGTGGGCTGAATTACAAATGCACATGAGGTCCCTGTCAGTGGATTGGCTTATCCCAAGTTCAAATGATCAGGCTCTGTCCCTGGGCGTGAAGAGACAGGAAGGTCACCATGGTTATATCTGCAGAGCCCTTTCGGGCTGACAAAATGCTTCCCACACTTTATTTCCCTGTGTTTCCCACAATCCCCATGCACAGAGGATGCAGCAACTGAGGCCGAGAGGTGGCGTCACTTGCCAGGATCAGCCAGAGAGTGGATGGCATGGCTAGACCTGTTATCCTGGCTTACAACCAAAATCATTTCCCCCACGTACCTCTTCGCTGCACTTGC